GTGACCGCGGAACGCTACAGCCGGCAAATCAACAAACTGAGTGAAGAGGCCAGAGATCAGTAAAGGCCATTTACTGGACAAGGAAGCAGGTAAGTCATTCTGCTGCCGCTGCCCGATAACGCTCGACCACCTCCCGTTGCTCGCGCGACGCAGACGATCCTCTTGAAATTGGGATGGCAAGTTCTCCCACACACAGCATCTTCACCAGACTTGGCCCCATCCGACCGCATTTTGTGCCTGTCAATGCACCCTCACGCCTTAGTGGATAAAAAGTTCAAAACACTGAGAGATGAGCATAAATTCGTCGATGATGGCTTTATTGCCTGGAAGCCTGCAAGTTACTTTCGCGATGGCATTCGTACGTCGCGTGAGAGATGGTGCAAGGTCGTAGAAAACGATGGACAATATTTTCTGACATTAAAAACATCGTACATCTCCTGTTTCAGGGCTCCTTCAAGAAGGTGGCAGTGGTGCCTTCTCCGGATGTCAAAACCGGGGGCATTTACCAACTGCGTCAGGGACTGAATCGGCGTGTTCGCGTTCTCATCCGACCCAGTGAACTCAACCGCAGAGAGCGTGGGTGTCTGCCGTTGGTTTGCGAAGCCGTCACTAAGGTAGAGATACGAAAAAAATATTTTTAATGCACATTTTAACAGATCTCGGTAGGTTGTGTGACTAGGCTCTACGCTGACCTTGAAGACGGCGTAAGCAGCTACAACAAGAGCCGCGTCGCGCCGGACTCCTACCAGGAACTCGATCTAGAGACCCTTCGACACAAGTGGTGCCACGCCATGGACGAGTGGCAGTCGTACCTGCAGAAAAATTTGCAGGCGGTAAGTTACTACTAATGCTGCCTTGTGAGTAGCATCACAATCCTGCGACTAGCTGGCGTCAAAACGCACCCGTTGCTCGCATTTAGTTGGCGCGGAAGCAAGAAAAGGACTCCTCGGACGAGGCCAACGAGGGCTACCTGTTGAATCGCTGGGTGTCTTCCATCCAGGAACGCGATGCCATCCTGGTGCCGGCGCCCGGATCCAGTCTGCCTGGAGCTCCAGCCACGGACACTCCTCCACCGGGCATGGAACAGCACAACCCTCTCATCTTTGCTGACCTCGATGGTAGGTGAAGGCGTTTACGGGTATCCACCAATCTGGCAATTCAATCTGTTCAATTTACAAAGACAAAACCGTCTATTTATCGAACCAATGTCTTTTTCACATTTCGCTAGACGCTCCAGGCAAGACGCCCATGAAGGTTGGCGCGCAGTCTTACCTGGATGACGAGGAGGCGTCGCTGAAGGAGGGCGCTGGCTTCGTCACCCTGCCTCTCATCAAGAAGTACGCCACACTCATTGGAGCTGTCGCATCGTGGGACTCCAATCTGCACGAGCGCGACTTCCTCAACAAGATCACGCCCGCATCAGAACGGATCTATCTCACTGTCAAGGTAGGTTGATGTTGGTGGTCAAGTGCCATCAGCGCAATGTTCAGCAGGCTCTATTTGAGACCATGGCGATGGTCAGATTGAATTCTTGAACTGGGAGTCAGACAAGGTCAGCTATTTATTACTAGAATCTGATGATAGTACGAAGCAAATTCTGCCAAAGGTCAGAGGTCAACTCCTGGGAAAGCTTAATGCCCAGAACTCCACGTTTGACCAAATACGCTTTTATTGAAGGCTAAATACGTGACCACAGATAGGTAATGGTTGTTTGGTTAAAAGTTTAACACTTCAAGGCAAACTATTGCATGTGATTGGAAATTGTCTGGTTACAGCACATATCCAGTTCTGGTTTCATGCAAAAGCAGTTATTGCAGTTTTTTTTAAATTTACTTTATTTCCGCTGAACCAGTATCCTCTTTTTGCTGTTCCCAAGGTACACCTCCTGCTAAGCAAGCCAGCATTTATGACGGTGGTTCTGAGGAAGAGAATTTGTGTAAAAATTTGCAAAAGAAACGCCCTCTCCAACCTCTTTAAAAGTCCCTTTTCGAGGATGGTTTCAAACGAAAAGGTCTGTGAATTTGCATCTTTTAAAACAAGAAATTAGCACGCGAAAACCCTAGTGGGTAAAACGAATGTAATATTATAAGAAACTGACTTTTTTCAGCTAGGTTGGCACTACCCCCGTTTGTTTCAAGCTAAGAGACTGTTCAGTTTGGTTAAAAACTGTTTAGTGATTAATTGATCGATAAAATACCCAAGTACTGAAATTTTGTACAGAAAACTCCATTCTAAAGATTACTCCAAGTTAACCAATCATCTGGCCGACCCGCTGAATTTGACAATGACAAATTTGGAGCCACATTTGATGTGGGTCGTTGTCAGGTAATTCCTCAAGATTGTAAATATGTCACTTGACACAACCAACCAATCACTGGTCGTTAAGTTTAGGGCCAATCAAAAACGACCACGTCAAAATCTTTTGAACGCTGGGGTGCTGTGTCTCGGGCTGCCTCCTCGGAACCAGGCGATCAATCCACACTTTCAAACTGGGTTAAAGCAATTTTTATTTTAGTGGTTTGATTTCTACAATGAACAATGAATATTTCCTGCTAAAAGTTAAATTTCAGTTTAATTTGAGCATAAAAATGTCGCCGAAAATGTTTCGATTTGAGACAAACTGTGTCGTGTGCTAAACGATACACGTGGAGCTGCCTGATTAGTTTCTCGCAATTTCGAAACTCCAAGTTTTGTGTGAATTTCGTATCGCTTTATGCACTATGAATGAAATCACACATGTGTTCGTTCCTTATGTACGTCTTAAAGTGTATTTTTTTTCGCTTTCGTAGGAGGAGATGCTGTGGACGGGTGTGGCCTACCAGTTTGTGGCTGGAATACCAAAGGTAACTTCACCTTTGAAGGGCGCATGTTTTATTAAACTTTATTTATGACAAATAACACGTCAGATACTTCCGTGAGTCAGTTACTAGCACCGATAAGGAGGCAGTGTATCGCACACCCATGTGATTAAAGTAGATGGTCGGCGACACACCCACACTTGTGTACCTAAATAGCGAAAAAAAGTTGTTTGTTTTTCATGTAAATTCAAGATGACTCCTCACGTCGTTCACGGATTGGCCGCGAATTCGACCTCCAAGGAGTGCGAAGGCGATTGGCTCATACGACCCAAATTATACATCGAACAGTACATGCGAACGATTCAGTCGGTTAGCAGTGAGCTACATCTTGACGGTCTACGACAGGAGGTACGTGTTTGGTGCCACTTAAATGATTGTTGGTTAAAAATTCATTGGGTTTTTTATCCCGTCTAAGGTTGCGCTTCAAGAGGCCTTGGCGACCAATCAGCATCGTCGCCAACCATTTGACCTTGGTGACCTCACCTCGGCACTGCAGGAATCGACTTTCTCGCACTCAGAGGTTGGTTGATGGGTTTGAAATAAAGAAATCTCCCCACGTTTTTGCCCGTCTTTTTTATTGCCAATATTCTCTACTGACCTACTGATACATACATTAGTTTAGAAGTTGATCTCCAAATTGAGCATGCACAAAATCTCCAATTTTTCAATTTTTTTTCGATCGTAGTGTGGCCTAGGACGCTCGAAGTCCTTCAGTGATCAGCCAAAACGACCATTTTCCCAGCGAAATCTACGCCAACGCAGTCAAACAAGATATACCACAACCACCTTTCCCTCATTATCGGTAAGTTCGTTTCAAACTTGGCGCAACCGTATCATCCAATCGTATCTCGCTGGCCGCCGTATTTTTATTGGGTAACCGAATCCAACACGCCATTGGTCACTGGACACATTTGTGCCGAATCATGAGTCACCACATACCGAAGTGAATTTGGATTGAATTAAGACCTCCGTGACAGGGTGAACATTTTACACTGCACATAGATGGATTCCAATGCAAAAATTTGATTCACGGGAGAAAAAAAAGACCGTCTACTTAGACCGACTTCTTTTGCTTCTTCAGATCGTCCAGCTGCCGCTTAATGGAACTGGATCTTCCCCAGAAAAAGCATCCACTCCAACACCGTCGTCTCCTGTCTTCTTTGAAAGGCCGTGTTAGTGTAACCCATTTCATTCTACTTGTTAAATAAACGAACGAACACTCGTCTCCTAGCCACAGTTACCATGCTACATGAGTTCGGATGCATCTTCTCCCTGTTGATGCAACTTGTCTGGTGTTTGTTTTGCGCCCGTCTGAATTGCTGCAGCAAAAGCAGCCCAGACAGTGCTAGAGACATGACGAGACATCTTCGGTATTATTTTTCACACCCTCCCTGTTTTAGGTGAATCTGTTGGTTTCAAGAATCCGGCCTCTGACGAAGCGGAGATAAGGCGACTGATGGAAGGTTTTCGCACGTCGTCGACGTCTTCAGGGCGAGGCGTCGGCGCTGCAAGGTGTCCGACAACCTCGGAGGAGCACATGGCGTGGACGCGACGCGATAGAGAAAAACAGCAGATCCCCAAGTGACCTCCAATTCCCCATCCAGCCTCAAACCTGTACAGCCTCAAGCCAGTTACTAGCAATTGCTTGTGACCATTCGCGTGATTTGTGTGATGTTGCAATGTGAAAACAGTGTATTTAGTGCGATCGAATAGGGCGTGTTTGAACATAAGCAGAACTTTTAATGGGGGTATGGAAAATGACACATGAATGACTTGCTTATATTTTGCGATAATGTACCTCACGAAGGTCATAGATGGTTTTAAAAAGTGTCAAAAATGATGAGAACACGCTTTTGATTAAACCTACTAAGTATTGGTGTAGAGACAAATGGTTGAATGGTCAATAACACGTGATTCGCATAACAAACTTCAATTCCGACCACTGCTCATTTGCTCTGACTTGTATTGATTGCCACCATAGTTTCTGCTTTCTTATTGGCCAAAGATGTCGGCTACATCGACCTCGTTTCCACGTGAACCAATAGGACTGGTCAAGTATCCAGCTTACCCAATGGTATTCGCTTCTGGGAATCTCTGAGCTAACTTGCACTTGAAATAACTGATTACGGCATATGGTCAACTAAGCGCAATTCACAAACACTCCTGTTGCCATAGCCAATATTCCTTGCTAGGTTTTACAAAGTTGCACTATTGATATCACTAGATCTCGATTTGGGTGGTGTGATCAGCCATTTTCGCTAGCACACAATTATGTCTAACTGTCTAGTGTCTGAAGCAGTTTTTTTATAATTTTTTTGGAATTCAAATTACAGGAAATGCCACCCCTAAACCCTACTCTTCCCATATTAACCAAATTGGAAGGCGATAAAAAATGTGTCTTTTTTGACACTTGACACAAATTTATTTTAACGAAATCACTCCCTTTGTCTTCCCACTAGGCAAGAAGTAAATTTCATAGGTATTGCTGGGTTATTTAAAGGGAGGGAGTTATCGTCTCTTAGCTGCGGTCGCAAGAACACGCTTCTTGAGATGAACTTTGGCAGTTGTCTTTCCTTTGGCTGCTTTGCAGTGCAGTTTCTTGGTGGCGTGGGCTCTGACCTTGATCTTAGAGGAGGCGCAGTTATTGACGCATTTGACCTTGCCGCATGCCCTCTTAGCGGCGACTGTCTTTATTTTAGAGGGCAGACCTTTCTTGCCCCTGATTTTTTTCAAAATCTGGGTTTTCGCGCCTATCTGCCGAGGCTTTGTGGCTTTCTTAATGACCCGGGCGACGGCCCTCTTCTTTGCGACTTTTGGGGGAGCGACACGGGCAGGGGGCACGACGAAATTGGGTTTATCCCCAATAGTTTCGTTGTTGTTGGTGGTGTAGATAATGGATTCTTCAAATCGGTCAACGGACATGGAGGTATTGTAAATTCCTTTGAGCTGCGCAGCCCTTTTTCGACAGATCACTTTAAAAGTATTGATTTCGTAGCCTGGGCACGTGATGCCACGTGAGCGACCAAGTCACGGATCGATGGGGAACGGCAAATAACTGTCGCGATATCCTAAATGTTTACGGTTTCAGCTAAGTTGAAAAATCAGTTTATCCCTAGAATTATCGAGACGCGATGTTCTTGCGGAGTCATTTAGTGCGCATTTAACAAAATATCAATGTTGCTATGACATCAGGAATTGCATGTAATTGAACGCATTCTTTCTTTCACCTTTTTCCGTGTTTCAACACAAATTTATCAAACTTTTTTATAGAATTAATCAGTTAAGGGTGTATGCCACAATAATTTCGAAATGGTGGATGTTTAATTTTAAGTTTTCGTAAAAATTTAGAGCACTCGGAAAGGAGTAAATTTACCACTGAGAGAAAATTCTTGTAGTCAGGCTTTTAACGATCCTACAGACGATGATCCAATCTGGAACACTCTTAAATGTGTAGAAATCATGAAAATAGTTATTAATTTTGTCAAAATCGACTTGAAAACAAGCGTGACTTGAAAACTGATCGCTTGTAAATATGCGCTCTTTTCCATTTGAAAAAGTGATAATCAAGTTTTTGTGGAATTTCAGCAAAAATATGTGCGACTGCGTAAAAATTTATTTGAAATTACAGTGTGTTTAATTGTAGTATGACACACTTGGTGCGTTGTCGAATTTTTATTAACAAAACCCAGAATTTAACCAGAGACTACCCAAATTGAGCGTCTTAGATCTGAACCAATTGGTGCATGACTGAAATAGGGAGGTAGGAATTCAGAATATGCCACTATGTGTTTTTGAATTGTAAAGTGGAATAAACATTGTTGACATGGTCATTTTTTAAAAAGCGTCGCTAAGACATATATCATGATCTGAAGTAAAAACCTTTCGTAACTAAAAATCTGCATCATGATTTGTAAAAAACAGTTAAAATTATAAATGTGATACGGCACCAGACCTGTTGATCTGAATCATATGTTGCGATTTTCATACGGGATCATTTTATTAAACACCCTTCTGTACACATCGTAAATGACAATGGATAATTTTCCACCACATGCATTATGTAACTAAAGTATAGAGTTTGTGATATTAAAAATAAAGAATTTAGTCTTCGGAACAATTTTACAATATTCTAAAAAAATTATTCGGCGATTACCGAAAAAAAGGTTACAACTTAATACGCGGTCAATGTTACTTTTAAGAACTACAAGCATTATGGATTCATTACGTAATGTAGTCATTTTTCCTAACCTGCTAAAGGTGTAGAGATACTTGAAATTTCGGACAGCTTGTCATATCCACCAAATTACAATATCCATACCTTTGGAATAGCAAGTTCAGCAATTTACATATCTATATTTCAGTCGCAACAGATTAAAAATCAAAATTTAGCCCTAAGGTTATGCATTCGATCGCGTAAAAATGCCTGTGAATCGGAACATTCTAAAATAGTAAACATAGGAGCCCGATTCCAGCACAATCAGTAGTTTCCTGTAAGTTATCTTCGGTTAAAACACGTTTTCGCACTTTTAGCTTAGTATGCTGGTTTATAAAACAAGACAAGAACCCAAAGAGGATCTTAAATTATCGAGGCATTCCATGGGCTAAAATTACCGAATTTCCTTCCTTATATTCATCCGGACTTGGTTTATTCTATTAAAATTCGTCATAAAATACTCATCGTTCGGTGAGTAAGCAAACTTGTGCACTAAACCACGCATTAAATCAGGTCTCGTCAGTGAACTGGGAAAGTTAAAGTATTCTTTTATACCCCTTGTTAATAAACGATTATAAATTGTCCAGAAGAATACATTCTCAAAGAATTGCATTTCATCTGCAGTCCATTATTGCTACAACCATCTTGACCAAGATATGCGCACCTATTTTGCATTCCAATTGTTGCCTAGATTTTAACCAACAACTTACTCTTAAAGAATGGATATTATGACCAGATGATTTGATAAATCTCCATTGCCATCATAAATACACGATAAAAACAGAAAATATTTAAAAAAATGTCACTCATTTCTTAAATATAGAACAAAAAGTCCTGAACAATCAAAATTTCAAGAGTATTTAAACTTGGACGTAAGTGATTAAATTTGCATTAATGGATTTAAAATGACTGAATAATCAAGGTCGAGCTGTAATTGGGAAATTTTCACCTAATAGGAAAGTCGTTTTTCTCTTGAAAAATTGGTAAAGGGCCTCTATGGAAAAATTATGAGATCCGCCGGATCTGTCAAGGTGGTAAGATGTTTAATGCATAAGTCAATTGTTATCTCCACATTTTTGTATTATTTTTTTTAACAGATGTACCTGTCTTTTTATAATTATTTTGTAATCAATGTTGTTCTTGTCATGGTTCTCGCAAAACCGTTTTTAAATATCCCAGGATAGACAGGGATCAATCAATGATTAAACGGTTAACAATTAGAGGGAAGTCTAGTTAAATCATAATTATGCAATTACGGTACATGGAGTTGGGGAAATCCTTGTGGCTTCCTTGTAGTGCATTTGTCAAATTAGTGGGGCATTTACTTTTAAATAAAGTGATTGGAGGTCAAATTAGCAAGTATGCGTTTCAGCTCCATGCTATTTGTGCTCATTAGAATTTTCCATAAAATTCAATAAATCTACGTATTAGGCACAACTGTTGAAAACTCTTGTTAAGTCGAGTAAAGATCATGCATACACACACTTCACATTGGACACGCAGTCCCCTGCTCAACTTTTACCTGCGCTTTAATGTTTTTTTCTTCAATGCCTTCAGAGCCAAAAACACTCCAATTGTTCTAAATCAGCGTAGCGTTTCGTGTAGCTCAATTTGTGCTCTTTTGCATGAAGGCATCGAGAAGTTCGCGTGTTGCTTCTCAGAAGCAGAAAGCGCACTCACCAACCCCAATTCGCTCCCTTCGAAAAACTCCCGCTCGTCGTATTGACACGAGAGAATCTGCCAAACCGAAGTCACCTGCTGATAAGCATCCGGTTTGTCACCACCACATTTATCCTAATACCTTCATGTAATCTAATTTGTATACTTGCTTGTAGTCCTTTATTTTTCAAGGCCTCAAGTCCTTGAATTTCAATATCTTTTAACCAACTGTAGTTCCTGATTGAAGAGCTTTTGTAATTGATGGTAGCCTGTTCCCTGTTTTTAAAATTATTCCCTTTTCCACATCAAGACATCTACGTCTAGAAGGCAACAGAAGAGGACCTCTGTTTCTTCGTCAGCATCGAAAAAGGTCAGCATACTTTTCATTAGCCCTTAATGGAAGTAAAAATGGTGCCTTATTCAGAGATATTTACTCCCAAGGATCAGATTTTTGTTTGTTTTACTACAGTTGCAAATGACACTGCCTTCCAAATATTTGACAAAGTAATTCAAATGATCGGACGTGTTCGCGCATATTCTCAAAGAACTATTCACTGTCTTTGGTTACCTTTACTCTTTCAATCAAGTCAGCTTTCCGTCGGCATTTAAACTTTACTTAGACATTTTGTCTGCTTTTGGTTGGTTGTGGTTATTATAGATTACCCACAATTGCACACAATCATTTAACGCACCCAGTTCTTTCCGACAGTACTTGTGGTTACTGTTGCCATTCGATTTGAGTGGTAGCATTCGCATGAAATACAAATCGTTTGATGATCTCGTGCCTCTTCGCGTTTCTAGAGACCAAGGCCGTCGCGATCAGCACGTGTTCGAAAGAAATCAAAGGTGGCCGACAAGGACGAGAGCCAATCAGAATCCCCCAAAGTGGTACGTCACTACTTGTTTGTAATTGGATGGACTTTTCCCCGCCTTTTTTCCTTTTTTAAACCAAGTTATGAAGATAAGAGCCAAGTGAAAAATGCAGTTTCGTTCATTTCACTTTTAGCTACGTTCCTCCACGAGGTCGAGATCAATTCGATTGCCAAAGGAGCAGGCGACAACTCCTTCAGAATCGGTAAATCTAATTCAGCTGTTTTCGTTGTTGTGAATTTTTGTACTGGTCATTGTTGAGGCAAGAATGTGGAGAATAGTAGTCCGTGGAAGCCACGCTGACCTAGCGCGGGAAGGTCAAGTTCCCACGACGAGAACTGTTCACGCGGCACGTGATTACGTCTCGTGTGGGAGGGCCATTGACCAATAAGAAGCGTCGGAAGTGGGTTGACCTAAAAGTGGCTTTTTTGTATGCCACAGTTGAGCCAATGCAGAACAACCAAATCTCCCTCTTAAAACTCTTTTTCCTTGTTGAAGACAACAGCGAGAAGAGCGTCTACGAAGCGCGGCAAGAAGGCGTCGGCGGGAAACACGACCGACGAGGATCCCTACGACCTGAGCACCGATGAAAACGAGTCGCCGACAAGCTCGTCCGGTGCCCGCGCCGTCTCACCTGCGGCCCCAAGTCAGGCGACGGAGCCTGTCTCGAAGATGCGAAAGTTCTTCCAGACACGGGGCGAAGGCCTAGCCAAGCGCACGGCCCTCAGCGCCTTCGATTTGCTGCGTCGGAAGCTCTGTGGAGTTGGAGGCAAGGGTCAGGTGGCGAAGGTGAGCTTGTTTGGTGATTTCCACCCTGTTCACGAGCAGATCCCCTCGTCAGACTGCACGCAACGAAGAAGTCTGTGCTTAGTTTCTTAGGTTTATGACGTGATTTGTACAGCGAACTTAATCTTGGGCATGCTGTCCATTGTTTTTCCTCATGATCTTGTGCCGTCTCTCAGTGTTTTGACCTGTTTGTCCACTAAGGCGTGAGGGTGCATTGACAGGCACAAAATGCGGTCGGATGGGGCCAAGTCTGGTGAAGATGCTGTGTGTGG